ATTGTTATTATTATTATTATTAATATTAATTATTATAATAATAATATTATTATTATTTTATTTTATTATTATTATTAGTTTTATTATTATTATTATTATTATTATTATTATTTTTATTAATAATAATAATATTATTATTATTATGGATCTTCTTCCATGCGAACAGCCAAACACAGTAATGTAATATTCCTGAAAATTTGAAAAAGATTCCTCTATGGAACCAAACATAGTAATGTATTAGTCCTAGGAATCATATTATCCTCCATCACTTTTCTGGGAATATGATTCCTACTGATTCCTGCATACCAAACGCCTCCTTAGTATCTTTGAGCTGTTTCTTTTATCACCAGATGGTCCATAGGCTTGTTAGACACCACTACAAGTATGCACACTTTGATAAGTTTATCAATAGAGCACATAGAGTGATGATATTCAATTTTCATCAAGGAAAATTAGTTTAATTTATTATAATTAAAGTCTTCTAAATAAGAGTTATTTTTTCATAGCACTAAAAAAACTCTCATAGATTGCATTAGTTTTAATTATTTTCTTCTCACAAGTTAGTTTCTCTCATTCTAATTACCAACGGTCATTGAGGTAGTTATTGTAATTATTGAAATAGTCTAATCTCAAATGTGATTAGTCCAGCAAAGGAGAATATTCAAAATAGTACTATTCATTCCTTACCAAAAAAAAGCACTATTCATGAAAAACCTCTTTTTTTTTGAAATTTTTTACCTTTCTAATTGCTCGTAAAAAATTTAATTTTAATATTTTCACAATGACTAATATATGATAATTCACTGAGAACTCGTCGTTTAGTTATTGTTCAAACTAAATAATTTAAATTAAAATTTAAAATTTTATAAGAAAATACGGTAATAGAATTAATTTAGATCAAAGTTTAAACACATTTACTAAACATGCACTAAGAGCTCATTTAAAAAGTATACTCAATCATAATTTAGATTCATTAGTGGAATCTTTATAAGAGAAAAAATTTTGAGTGCTTTTGAAATTGGTTTCAAAATAATTTTATTTTTAATAAAAAGTAAAAATAAGATTGTTTTGAGAATCATTTTGGGACTGATTTTAAAATTACATTTGGTTAGTTTTTTAAGAGATTATTTTGAGTATAATAAAAAGAGAAACCGTGTTTATTAATTAATATATTATAATATTATTGATAAGTATTAAAAAATAAAAACAGAAAAGTGAAAATAAATTTTAACTGTTTTCTAATTCTTTTACAAAAATCATTATTACTGTTTTCGTTTTCATTTTAGTTTTCAAAATATTTGCTAAACAAAATCGTTTCATTTTCATTTTCATTTTTTATTTCTCGAAATACGTGAAAATAATTTTTTGAAACGGTTCTAAACACGCACTTTAAAACTCAAATTCTTTATAAGATAAAAAATACTGTAATAAAACATAATTTGAGTTTGAGTATAGCTTCCAAACAACCTATAAATATAAATAAAAAAATTTTAAAAATAAAAAATTTATCTTTAAGAGTGCATGAGTCTAAATATTTGCTCTTTATTCTTAAAGCCCGTTTGGTTGGAGGATTCGATATCTGATTCGAATCATGGTTCATGGTTCGCTACAGTATTTTCTTTCACAAAAAATATACGTAAATAAAAAATAGTTCTAATCTATGAACCAAACGGACTCTTAATGAATACTATTTTATTAGTATAATTGTTTAACTAAAAAAAATTATGAATTAAAAAAAAAGGTAAAACTTTTAAAATATATTTGTGAATATCACCTACAGAACAGCAAACGACATCTCTGTACGAGGAATGGGAAGCAGGCACTAATTCCTTTTCCTTTCGTTTTTACTTCAGAAAAGACAGGAGGGTAAAAGAGTCAATTCGGTTGATCCGCGTTTCTTCGTCTTCAGCAGCAACTTGAGACCTTTTCTTTTTGAACTCCAAGAGATTCAGAGGGAAAAAACAAACACCTCGCGATCGCCATGGCCGCTTCTCCACCACCTTCTGAATCTCTCGGCCAGGCTTTGCCCTCTCAAAACCCTAACATTCCTCAACACGAAGATCGTCCCCAATCTCCTTCACATTCCGATTCCCATCCCTCCAAAACCCTAACCCTAGAATCCCCAATTGTCCACTCCCCGGAGCCCCATCGGAGCCCCCAAAATCCTCACGGGCCCGACCAAAACGACGGCGTATTTGAGGGCCTCTCCGGCCAAACTCCTCGACCGAGCAACGACGACGGCGATCTCTCATCAGTTGCCTCCGCCGCGATTCCCGCCTTCTCCGTCTACAAGCGCGGTACGAAGCGGAAGAGCGGTCACCAGAAGAAACGATGGGCCCAGGAGAAGTTGATGAAGAAGCTTGAGGTACTCAACGAAAACCTAAGGCCTATTCCTTTTGCTCCCGTCAAAAATCTCGACTTTTTGAGCCATGAGAAGCTCCTGAGGCGGCTCGGACTGTGGGATTTCGTCCACATTGAGTTCGATCGCGCCATCCGCGCCGATCTCCTCGCCCAATTGATCGCCAACTACGCCCATCGGTGCAGCTACGTAAATGGCGTTCGCGTGATGGTCAACCGGGCTGATTTGGCGCGGGCCCTGAAGCTGCCAGTGAAGAAGCCCGCGGCGGCTACGTCGGAGGGCATGGGCGATGAGGTGCCGGAGACGGAGGAAGCGATCGGTTTTATCGAGGATTTCGTTTCGAATTGGCTGCTATTGCACGATGATACGTGGATGACGCCGAATGAGGTGTTGAATTGGATGATGGCTGTTAAAGAGGGGCATTTGGAGAAGGTGGATTGGGCGGGAATAATTTGGTTCATGATAGAGAAGGAGCTGATGGCGGCGCCGCTGCTAACGGATTGTTACTACGCGTCGCATTTGCAGTACTTGATAAAATCGCAGAAAGAAGAGTTGTTTCTTGTGAAGGAAGGAGGAGAAGAGGGGGACGAGGAGGAGCCTAAAATTGAGATTCTCCTCGGGTTGAAGGAGGATGAGGAGGTTGCAGAAGGAGAGGATGCTAATGGAGATGTGAGAATGGGTGGGGACGACACTGATGTTCGCGGCCACGAGTTGGAGGAGCACAACACTGAATTGAGCCTTGGCCAAGATAATGTTGTTGAGCACAACGTTGAACTGAGTCTAGGCCAAGATAATGTCGTCGAGGAAGCAGACGCTGAGAAGGAAGTGGATGTTGAAAATGAGAAGCAAGTAGATGTTGAAAAGGAGGCAGACGCTGGACAAGAGGAGCTAGTTGAGGAAAAGAAGGAGGCGGGAGTTGAGGAAAAGAAAGAGGAGGGAGTTGAGGAAAAGGAGGAGGAGGGAGTTGAGGAAAAGGAGGAGGAGGGAGTTGAGGAAAAGGAGGAGGAGGGAGTTGAGGAAAAGGAGGAGGAGGGAGTTGGGAAAAATGAGGAGGAGGGAATTGAGGGAAAGGGAGAGGATGGAGCTGAGGAAAAAGAGGAGGATGGAGGTGGGAAAAAGGAGGAGCAAGTTGTTGGGGAGGAGAGCACGATGGATTTTGAGGGATGTAAGGAGGATGATGAGCCTGTTCAATGGTTTTTGGATGGGAAGGGTAATGTGGGTGAGCCTTTTCTGAGGCAGTGTAGTTTTGGTGTTGAACCTAAGGATTTGGTTTGTGAGGATGAAAGGAAACAGGAAGAAGAGGGGGAAGAAGTAGGAGGAGGAGAAGAAGAAGAAGAAGAAGAAGAGGAAGAAGGGCGCGATGAAGTGGAGGAGGACGAGGAGGAGATGGAGGAAGAACAGGAGGAGCAGGGACACCAAGAGGGAGATTTTCACCTTTCACCAAAGGGCTTTCCTCTAGATGGTTTGACTTCAGGAGGTCTAATTCATTCAATGGAAGCGGCACAGATAAATCTTAGTCCCGGGATGTCATTCCGTGACCCTTTAGCAGGGGAGTTTTTAACCTCTAGGGATGACACGCGAATGTCTTCGCTTTTTGGAAATGGTAGCACTAGCAAGAGGGATCACATTAGTCTTGAAAGTGATAACTCCCATCATGCTCTCAATGGCAATAAGCGAATGAGAATTGATGGCCCCTGGGATAACAGCAAGTCTTCATCTGATTTCGACATGTGTATGGAGCAAATACAACACTTCATGGGAAAAGCTCGGATGATGTATGCCGCAAAAGAGCAGGCCTGCGAGGAGGCCGCCATGAATCATCAGATTTTTTTGAATGAATTGCAGCAACGTGACAACATGATCGCTCACTTGGAGAAGGCCAGGACTGAAGAGAGACAAAAGAGACAAATCGAGGTGTATAGACTCGAAGGAGAGCTCAATCTGATGAGTAATCTCTTGGACGGCTATAGGAAGGCTTTGAAGGAAAATCACAGGGCGTTTGCAGAGTACAGAGCACGCCGTTCGCAGCTTGATGAGCCGATTTATAAGGATGTTGCAGGGTCTGCAGGTCTGGTTTTAAGTGCCACGGAACTTGGAAAGCTACGCCTCAAGCGAGAAGAAGAAGAGAGGGTGAACAGGCTGATTGTTGAGAGAAAGATTAAAGAATTCGAAGCATGGTGGGATGCCAAATTCTCGGCGCTTGGTGTGACTATTACTGAATGGGACAACAAGTTGCTGTCTGTAGAACAGGAAATGAAACTTCTCAAGGAATCATATCACGCAAAGCGCAAGGTTTCAGAAGCACCGGAACCTGCCCAAAATGACTCTTGAGCTGTTCGGCAAAGTCCTTCCTTTGAGCCACATGGGATGTATATAGGTCTAGATGTTAATGGTAAGTGAAATTGTGCGACTATCTTTTTATGTTATGATGCAGTTAGAGAAAATCCTAATCTGGTATAGATTGATGGTACTATGTGGATCTGTTAGAAACTCTTTCTTGCTGAAGGGATGGATATGTAGTTTGGTTTTTCTTTGCTGCTTAGCTTCTTTCCTAACCCTTTCTATAACCAACTTCATGGGTATTTCATCCATTTTATCCCTTTTTCCGCAAATATTAATAATGCACATTTCTCAAATTCTTAAGAATTAGAGAGTTTGACGATATTGGTTTTGTCGAAGACCTAGGTTTTGAAAGCTAGGAATTATCTCTTAAGGAGATTATCATTCTAAAAGTTAAGAGTTATCTCTAGGAGTTATCTCTTCCTAGATTATGTTTTTAAATTTAAAAATCCGGATAGAATATTTGATTAGGTCCGGATAAGGATGACTTGGAATCCAATTAGGATTTCATGATTAGGATAGATTTTCTAAGTTAGTTTTACGCTTATAAATAGCTTGTAAATTCCGCATATTAATAATAAGAAAGTTCTTTTTCCTCTAAAAAACTACATGGTATCAGAGCTAGCTCTTAGGTTTTAAACGGCAAAAACTGTCATGAGCGGAGCAAGTAGGACCTCTACTTCTTCAAGGGATTCCGTAGAGAATGACCAGTCCGGAACCACTGCATGACCAGCGGCACAGACCCATTAGCAACATATGGAAATCCTTCTCTTCAGATCACTGTTCACAAATTAAATGGCAAGAATTACCTGGAGTGGGCTCAATCCATGAAGCTCGCAATTGATGGAAGAGGAAAACTTAGCCACTTAACTGAAGGTATGGCAAAAAAACTAATAGTGGGTGATCCGAATCTGAAGGTATGGCAATCCGAGAACTCTTTGATAATGGCGTGGCTCATCAACTCAATGGAGCCGGCTATTGGGAAACCTCATCTATTCTTACCAACCGCCAAAGATATGTGGGAAGCTGTACGTGAGATGTACTCAGACCTGGAAAACTCATCACAAATCTTTGAATTAAAGACGGAGCTGTGGCAATCTAGGCAGGGAGATCGAGATGTCACAGCATACTATAACAAGATGGTGATTTTATGGCAAGAATTGGATTTGTGTTATGAAGATGAATGGATTGTCCCACTGATAGTGTGCGGCATAAGAAAAGAGAGGAGAATGATCGAGTTTACATGTTTCTAGCAGGACTCAATCAAGAATTAGCTGAAATAAGAGGAAGGGTCTTAGGAAGAAAACCCGTACCATCTATCAGAGAAGTGTTTTCAGAAGTTAGGAGAGAGGAGGCTAGGCGGAGAATGATGCTAAAAGCCCAAGAACCGAAGCTCAATCCTGAAGCAGAAAGTTCGGCTCTAGTCTCTAGAGGATTTGATCCATAGGAAGAAAAGAAAAAGAAACCATGGTGTGATCACTGGCAAAAACCATGGCATGCAAAGGAAACATGCTAGAAACTTCATGGCAAATTGAAGAATTTTAAAAAGAAGAATGGAGGTGATGGCAAAGCATTTCAAACCGAGTGAGGATTCTCAAAGGCAGCAAATCAACTCGGAAATAACTCAGTTCACAAAGGAACAACTAGACTATCTGTACAAACTGTTTCAATCTCCACAATTTTCAAATTCTTCTTGTTCTTTAGCTCAAAAGGGTAATTATCTCATTACAGCTCTCTCTAGTATAAAATCTAATGTTTTGTCTATGGATTATTGACTCTAGAACCACAGATCACATGACTGGCTCTTCAAAACTGTTTTCATCCTACAAACCGTGTGTTGGGAATAAAAAGATCAAAATTGCAGATGGATCCTTTTCAGCCATAGCTAGAATAGGATCAGTCAGTGTTTCTCCATCTCTCACACTTCATAATGTCCTTCATGTTCCAAATTTGTCTTGTAACTTATTGTCCATAAGCAAAATAACTCATGATCATAAGTGTCAAGCTAACTTCTATCCATCTTATTGTGAGTTTTAGGAACTAACTTCGGGGAGGACGATTGGCAGTGCTAGAGAGATTGGTGGACTTTATTTCTCTGAAGACGGATCCGAATCAAGAAGACCAACTCATATTTCTTGTCTTGAATCTATTTCTTTTACTAGTAGGGATGAAATAATGATGTGGCATTATAGGTTAGGCCATCATAGTTTTCAATATTTAAAACATTTGTTTCCAAACTTATTTAGAAATAAAAATCCATCTTCATTTCAGTGTGAATTTTGTAAATTAGCTAAACATCATCGTACCACATTTCCATTACAACCATACAAGGCTTCAAAACCTTTTTCATTAATACATAGTGATGTATGGGGGCCTTCACGAATCACAACACCATCAGGAAAGAGATGGTTTGTCACTTTCATAGATGATCACACAAGGGTAAGTTGGGTTTACTTACTAAAAGAAAAATTAGATGTGGAGGAGGTGTTCAAAAATTTTTACATAATGGTGATGACACAATTTCAAACACAAATTCAAGTTTTTCGCAGTGATAATGGAAAAGAGTATTTATTTTAATAAGATTTTGGGAAAATTCTTCCTAGAAAAAGGCATAGTTCACCATAGCTCGTGTAATGACACCCCTCAACAAAATAGAATAGCTGAACGAAAGAATAAACACCTCCTAGAAGTAGTTAGAGCACTACATTTCACAAATAAAGTCCCGAAGTATCTTTGGGGGGAAACTATTCTCACAGCTACCTACCTTATCAATAGGATGCCAACTAGGGTGTTGAAACTCAAAACACCATTACAGGTATTTTCAAGTTGCTATCCAACATCTAGGTTCACCTACACTTCCTATAAAAATATTTGGATGCACAACCTTTGTACACATTCACGATCATAACCGGGAAAAACTTGACCCTAGAGCTAAAAAATGTGTCTTTGTAGGATATGTACCTTTCAAAAAGGTTATAAATGCTTTGATCTAATTTCTAAAAAAATGTTTGTTACCATGGATGTAACCCTTTTTGAATCTAAACCTTTTTTTGCTACTCATCTTCAGGGGGAGAGTACAAGTGAAGATGTAACCAAATTTGGAATTAATGATGTTTTTGAAATAGATTCAACACATACTCCTAATATTGAGACTGAAAATTCAGATTCACACGTTAAAAAATCAGAAAATATGGATGGAACAAATGATGTTTTACATATTGAAAATTCAAATAGCCTACTGGCATGTCAAAATCAGAATCTCAACAACTCAGAAAATAGGAACAAGACTGGTACTAAGAATATAGATCTCTTGGTCTACTCAAGGAGGAAACTGAATTCAAAGAAACAAGGTCCCGATCCTCTACAAGGCCATGAGTCCGAACTGAGGGAAGAACCAAAACACTTCCCCAAGTGCCCAGGTAACAATCAATTCGATTCTTGTTTAAATTCCAGTCCCGAGCCCTTGATGATTCCATACAGTCTATCCCTAGTGCTAGTACTGAGTCATTTGATGATCTCAATATTCCTATTGCCACCCACAAGGGTGTCTGGTCATGCACTAAACACCCCATGTCTAATTATGTGTCCTATAAGAATCTCTCTCCTTCATTTTTTTCATTTATCTCACATCTCACTTCTGTGGAAATTTCAAAGAGTGTACAAGAAGCTTTACAGGTTCCTGAGTGGATGAGAGCACTTGAGAAGAATCACACATGGGAAAAAACAGATCTGTCGAGAGGAAAGAAAACAGTTGGCTGTAAATGGTTGTTCACCATCAAGTATAATTTGGATGGATCTCTCGAGAGGTATAAAGCACGGTTGGTGGCTAAAGGGTTTACTTAAACCTATGGCGTTGATTATCTCGAGACCTTTGCTCCTGTGGCAAAGTTGAATACCATAAGAGTACTTCTTTCAATTGCAGCAACTCTTTGACTGGCCACTTCAACAGTTAGATGTGAAGAACGCATTTCTAAACGGAGAATTGGAAGAGGAAGTTTATATGGATCCACCGCCTAGATTTGATAAGCACTTTGGATCTAAGGTGTGTAAGCTAAGAAAATCACTTTATGGGCTCAAAACAATCCCCAAGAGCCTAGTTTGAATGATTTACTTAGTCTATTAAAAATCAGGGATATGTCCAGCCCAAAGTGACCACACTATGTTCATCAAGCACTCTGATGATGGAAAAATTGCAGTTTTGATAGTCTACGTAGATGATATCATCCTTACTGGAGATAATTCTGCTGAAATGAGTCATTTGAAGGAAAGTTTGGCTTCATAATTCGAGATCAAAGACTTGGATCTTTAAAATATTTTTTGGGAATGGAAGTTGCTCGTTCAAAAAAGGGTATTGTTGTCTCACAAAGGAAATACGTCCTTGGCCTCCTTAAAGAAACATGAATGAGTGTAGGCCTGCTGATACCCCAATGGACCCTAACCAGAAGTTGGGAGATGCTAAAGATGGAGATCCGGTAAATGCAACTCGATATCAGAAGTTGGTAGGAAAACTAATCTACCTATCTCATACCAGACCAGACATTGCGTTCGCAGTTAGTATGGTAAGTCAATTCATGCACTCACCACGTAAAGAACACCTTGAGGCAGTATATCGAATCCTGAGGTATTTGAAAAGCACTCTAGGGAAAGGACTCTTCTTTAAGAAACACGAGTAGAAAACAATTGAAGCATACACAGATGCAGATTGGGCAGGTTCCGTCACAGACAGAAGATCTACATTTGGATATTGCACTTATATTTGGGGAAACTTAGTCACTTGGAGGAGCAAGAAACAAAGTGTAGTAGCTCGAAGTAGTGCAGAAGCTGAGTACCGGTCAATGACTCATGGAGTATGTGAAATGTTGTGGTTAAAAAGGATCCTTGAGGAGTTGAAGAAACCAATAGAGATGCCTATGAAGCTCTACTGTGACAACAAAGCTGCGATCAGTATTGCTCACAACCCAATGCAACATGACAGAACTAAACACGTTGAAATTGACAGACATTTCATAAAGGAGAAGCTAGAAGAAGACGCTATATGTATGTCATTTATTCCAACAACACAACAAATAGCTGATATTCTCACGAAGGGGTTATTCAGACCAAGTTTTGAGTTTCTTATCAGCAAGTTGGGCATGATAGATATCTATGCACCAACTTGAGAGGGAGTGTCGAAGACCTAGGTTTTGAAAGCTAGAAAATTAT